GTTTGCGAGGCACGCACCAGACGGTGCAGAGCTGAACGTCCTCCTGTCCAAGTTGCTGCTGCCAGGCTCGTAATCTGTCATGCGCCCCTGTAACGCCTCCTCATGCTGCTGCCAGGTCCAGAGTGTGTCTTGGGCCCCCGTACCGACTCCTCATGCTGCTGCCAGGCCCGTAATCTGTCATGGGCCCCTGTACCGCCTCCCCATGCTGCTGCCAGGTCCAGAGTGTGTCATGGGTCCCTGTACGGCCTCCCATTGCTGCTGCCAGGCCCGTAATCTGCCATGGGCCCCCGTACCGACTCCTCATGCTGCTGCCAGGCCCGTAATCTGCCATGGGCCCCTGTACCGCCTCCTCATGCTGCTGCCAGGTCCAGAGTGTGTCATGGGTCCCTGTACGGCCTCCCATTGCTGCTGTCCTCTATCGCCACACTCTGCCATGTGCCACTTTCAGGTCTCCTCACACTGCTGGTGGTTTCCATTTTTGTCATAGGGTGCTGTATGGCCTCCCATTGCTGCTGCCTCCACCGCCACACTGTGACTCCACACTCTGGTTTTGGCCCCGTGACTGCCCAAATGAGTGAAGTGTGCGGTGATTCTAAGATCGACGGCACTCATCTGCATGTCATACTGACTGACAGTATTATTTCTCTTCCCCAGCAGACTCCAAGGGCATTTAAATTAAAGGTACAGTGTTCAGCACTAATATATTAAGTCTCTCTGAAGCCTAGAAACACCCTTTTTTAAGTTAAATTCACAGCGAATATATTCGACTCGAATCGAAATTTTTCCACGAATTCGCCGAATCAGTCGAATCGAATTTTTGAATACTTCGCTCATCTCTAATTAAAATGATTCAACTTAGCTTATGGCTATAATTTTTCTTGGTAATCCTATGCAATATATTATGCCATTTAGGCTTTGTTATGTAGTCAATATCACTTGCTTTATATTTGTGGAAACATCTATCTATATAATTATTGTGCATTATGTAGTCATTACGCCTATAGTAGAAAACTTTCCGTTTACAGAAAAACTAGAGCCAATTGACAAATTTCATTGTTATATTTGAACTCAGAATGTGAAATTCATTAAGAAATGGATCCTTTTGTTTCCAAAACTGGCAAAAAATAAAAATTTGTTGAACAGTGTTATCAAGCAGATATACAGACAGGAAACTTCAATGAACTGCCAGCAGTAGTTCATTGAAAACTACAAGCTGACAGCCGCTAAGGCTGCTGGGACTTGCAGTTCATTCATTCACGGAAGTCCATGAATGAATGATGTGGCCGTGTGGGTGAAGCCCAGCACAGCCGCACTGTTTTCAAATCTGACAGATAGTACGGGGAAACTTTTCCCCGTACTATCTGTCAGAGGGAGAGGGGCGGCGGGCGCGGCTGCAGCTATGGGAAACATGTTACATGTTCCACCCTAAAAACAGATGGAACATGTAACATGTTTCCAAAGGTGAACTTATCCTTTAAAGCCAGTAGGTTGGAATGTTAAATGAAAATACTTTTGAGGAATGTCTGTGATTGTTTTTTTTTTCTACACAATTAAACAATTGAATGAACATTTTCCAAGACTGGTGATTCCATACTTTTTGCCAGGGGCTGTATAAGTGTGATTTCCTTCTTTGACCATGCTTGCTTTTACATATTTATGTATTGAATTACTGTACATATATATTTATAGATTAGTCATTAGTGAAAGCAAACACCTAAATTGCAGTCATTTTGTCTCCTTTGCTAACAACTGTTATGATAAGATATCAACCACATAGGATGACTCATAGACTTGAATTGTGAGAAAAAGCAATAAAGCTGGCCATAGGGGAGTCAGTTTTTTTTCTTTCAACCAACAGATTAAAAAAAAAAAACTGACCGATTCCCCCATCCACACATTTGAGGTGGATGAGGGAATCCTCCCTGCTGTGTCTTTGTATTCTCCAAGAGGGGAGACTATGGCCTGCAGCTCTGATCCAGAGGAAATTTCCAAATAGGGCTGCTGTACATAAGTCAATTGGTGCTCTGACTTCTGCTCAACTACAGTGGCCATACACTGATCAAAAATCTGCTGATCCCTGCTGAACTGGCCATATTTCGATCTTTGTATGGCCAGCTTAACTGCTTCCTGCTCAGCCACTGTACATAAAGCCAGGCAGGACAAGTCCTCCCAGAACTGCACATCGTGTGCACCTCCAGGGGCACACAGCAGCACAATCTGTCACCACTATGTACAGTGGACACATAGGATCACAAATCTGTGTACAGGGCTGCTTTGTTCAAACTTGGTACCATGTGATTTTTGTGACCAATCCTAGAAATCACATGTCCAGCAATAAACAATGGTTGTCATTCAAGATGGCATTGCTTATTACTGTGATCTCTGTGAGTGATCACATGGTACTGGGCCAGTCACAGTGGCCCTGTATCATGTAATAGCTGTGATCAGTTACAGCTATCACAGTAGTTCTCATTGGCTGCAGGAATGCAGCCAATCATTGTCAGAAATTGTTGCTTACATAGCCATCATGGTCGTAAAACAAAACAGAAAAATCCCATTCACCTTTGCAGAGTAGTAAAGTGTCACTAAGGTATCACTACACTACTCTGGTGACAATATGTAAAGAAAATGTGTAAAAAAAAAAAAGTGAAAAAAAAGTATTTTTTTTTTTTACATACTGTCAACAGAACCAGTGCAGTGTCAATCTGGTGACATCGTTATGTGGTGGCGGAGATCATGTACAATGGCTGGCTGTTCTGATATCACCATATGTCAGTGCAACCAGTCATTATCTCTGATCACCGCCACAGCGGTACAGTGTCACAGACCAGTGCTACCAGTCAGTGTCCCTAATCACCGGCACACAAATCATTGTTCCTAATCACTACCACACTAGTTACAGTGTCCCTGATCCCTGCCACACCAGTTACAGTGATCAACACTACACCAGTGTCACCATCTCAGTCTAAACCAGCAACGGTGTCACTGATTGTTGCCACACCAGGGGACACCTTTTGCCTGGACCAATCTTTTGCTTCTTTGCTAGCCATGTCTCTGCCTGCAGCTTGAACTGACCGATCTGCACATCCAACTGACTAGGTCCCTGTGAGAGACCAATCCCAGTCATCCTCTGCAGACAACTGCACTCTTGAAACCACAGGGGACTCTTTTATTCTTTCTTTCTTCAGCCTTCTGTACTTCCTGGCCACTGAAAAATGGCATTCCTGGGAGTAGCCATGTACCAGTAGGCTAGTCTTGCTTGCCTTATAGGTACTGGGACTGCTATAGATGATGATACACTAAGCTATATTCCCTGACCACTCATTTAGAGGCGACCATTACAGTAGATTAGTTTTGATACAATTGGTTGATTTGTGTGATACACAAGATGCAATGTCCATTATATTATCAGTACAAATATTGAAAAAGTCTCACACATACGGTATCCCCATACTTGGGAAGAGTAGCAGAATATGTTTTGGGGTGTAATTCTAAGTATGTCTATGCTGTGTGGGAGAAATACACTTTATGCCAAAAGTATTGGGACACCCATCCAAATCATTGGATTCTGAGGTTCCAATCACCTCCATGGCCACAGGTGTATAAAAGCAAGCACCTAGGCATGCAGACTGCTTCTACAAACACTTTTGTGAAAAAAATGGGTCACTCTCAGGAGCTCAGTGAATACAAGCATGGTACTGTGATAGGTTGCCACCTGTGCAATAAGTCCATCCGTGAAATTTCCTTGCTACTAAATATTCCATGGTCAACTGTTAGTGGTATTATAACAAAGTGGATGAACTGGGAACAACAGCAACTCAGCCGCAAAGTGGTAGGTCACGTTAAAATGCCAGAGCGGGGTCAGCGCATGCTGAAGTGCACAGTGCGCAGAAGTCGCCAACTGTTTGCAGAGTCAGTAACTAAAGATCGCAAACTTTGTTTGGCCTTCAGATTAGCACAACAGCAGTGCATAAAGAGCTTCATGGAATAGGTTTTCCTTGACCAAGCAGCTGCATCTATGCCTTACATCACCAAGTGCAATGCAAAGCATCGGATGCAGTGGTGTAAAGCACGCTGCCACTGGACTCTAGAGCATTGGAGACATGTTCTCTGGAGTGCTGAATCACGCTTCTCTGTCTGTCAATCCGATGGACATGTCTGAGTTTGGTGGTTGCCAGGAGAACGATACTTGCCTGACTGCATTGTGCCAAGTGTAAGGGGGGATTATGGTGTGGGGTTGTTTTTCAGGACTTGGGCTCCAGTGAAGGAAACTCTTAAGGCAGTGGTTCTCAACCTTTCTAATGCCGCGACCCCTTAATACAGTTCCTCATGTTGTGGTGACCCCCAACCATAAAATTATTTTCATTGCTACTTCATAACTGTAATTTTGCAGTGGGAGGAGTAGTGCCCCATCACTGATGTCAGTGGGATGAATAGTGCCCCATTGTTGGTATCAGTGGGGGGAATAGTGCCCCATTGTTGGTATCAGTGGGGGGAGTAGTGCCCCATCGTTGGTGTCAGTGGGAGGAGTAGTGCCCCATCATTGGTGTCAGTGGGAGGAGTAGTGCCCCATCATTGGTGTCAGTGGGAGGAGTAGTGCCCCATCATTGGTGTCAGTGGGAGGAGTAGTGCCCCATCATTGGTGTCAGTGGGAGGAGTAGTGCCCCATCATTGGTGTCAGTGGGAGGGAGTAGTGCCCCATCATTGGGGTCGGGGGGGGGGGAATAGTGTCCCATCGTTGGTGTCAGTGGGGGGAGGAATAGTGCCCCATCATTGGTGTCAGTGGGAGGAATAGTGCCCCATCATTGATGTCAGTGTGGTGGAGGGGAGAATAGTGCCCCATCATTGGGGTCGGGGGGGGGGGAAATAGTGCCCCATCGTTGGTGTCAGTGGGGGGAGGAATACTGCCCCATCGTTGGTGTCAGTGGGGGGAGGAATACTGCCCCATCGTTGGTGTCAGTGGGGGGAGGAATACTGCCCCATCGTTGGTGTCAGTGGGGGGAGGAATACTGCCCCATCGTTGGTGTCAGTGGGGGGAGGAATACTGCCCCATCGTTGGTGTCAGTGGGGGGAGGAATACTGCCCCATCGTTGGTGTCAGTGGGGGGAGGAATACTGCCCCATCGTTGGTGTCAGTGGGGGGAGGAATACTGCCCCATCGTTGGTGTCAGTGGGGGGAGGAATACTGCCCCATCGTTGGTGTCAGTGGGGGGAGGAATACTGCCCCATCGTTGGTGTCAGTGGGGGGAGGAATACTGCCCCATCGTTGGTGTCAGTGGGGGGAGGAATACTGCCCCATCGTTGGTGTCAGTGGGGGGGAGGAATAGTGCCACATCGTTGGTGTCAGTGGGGGGAGGAATAGTGCCCCATCGTTGGTGTCAGTGGGGGGAGGAATAGTGCCCCATCGTTGGTGTCAGTGGGGGGAGGAATAGTGCCCCATCGTTGGTGTCAGTGGGGGGAGGAATAGTGCCCCATCGTTGGTGTCAGTGGGGGGAGGAGTAGTGCCCCATCGTTGGTGTCAGTGGGGGGAGGAATAGTGCCCCATCGTTGGTATTAGTGACACAAATGATGGGGCACTATTCCTCCCACTGACACCAATGATACTTACCTTGCTGACCCCTGCTCCAGCCTGGGCTCGCTCTCTCACTTACCTGTCAGCTGTCTTCCTTCTCTGGCCGCTCTCCTCTTCACTCGCTCCCTCGGTCTTCTTTGATGTCCGCGCGCTGCCGCTTGGCTCCTCCTCTCCAAGCTCCACCTCCTCGCCGGTGATTGGCCACCTGTGTGCCTCTCCTGAGCTACAGTTCCGGTGGCCAATCAGCGGCGAGGAGGCGGAGCTGCTGAGCGATCTTGGAGGTGTGGCCGGGTGACAGCAGCGTATCATCCCGCCCACACATCGCCGGAGACTGCAGCGGTGTCTCGGTTCCTAAGACCATCGGAAATATGTGTTTTCCGATGGTCTTAGGCGACCCCTGGGAAATGGTCGTTCGACCCCCAAAGGGGTCGCGACCCCCAGGTTGAGAACCGCTGTCTTAAGGCATCAGCATACCAAGACATTTTGAACAATTTCATGCTGCAGACTTTGTGGGAACAGTTTGGGGATGGCCCCTTCCTGTTCCAACATGACTGCGCACCAGAGCACAAAGCGAGGTCCATGAAGACACGGATGAGCGAGTTTGGGGAGGAAGGAACTTGACTGGCCTGCACAGAGTCCAGACCTCAACCCGATAGAACACCTTTGGGATGAATTAGAGTGGAGACTGTAAGCTAGGCCTTCTCGTCCGACATCAGTGCCTGACCTCACAAATGTACTTCTGGAAGAATGGTCAAACATTTCCATAGACACACTCCTAAACCTTGTGGACAGCCTTCCCAGAAAAGCTTAAACTGTTATAGCTGCAAAGGGTGGGCCAACTCAATATTGAACCTTACGGACTAAGACTGGGATGACATTAACATTCATGTGCGTGGAAAGGCAGGCATCCCAATACTTTTGGCAATATAGTGTATCTTACTGATTGCAAACTTTGTGTAAAAAAATATATTTTCATTTTCTTTCCTTCATTTCCCAAAAACTTGTAGCAAAAATGAAATTTTCAAAAGACCACTATGTCGTTCAGAAAATACATTGTAGTCTTTGTTTTCCAAAATGGAGTCATTCTGTGGGAGTTTCTGCTGTCCTGATGCTCCAAGGCCTCCAAAAATATGATAGGTAGTCAAGAAATTAGATGCATAATTTTTGCTCCTTGAAAGCCTAAAGGCGCTCTCTGCATTTTGTGCCCCACTATGCATCTAGGTTGTGAAAAAGTCTCACATATGTGGTATACCCATACTCAAGAGGCATAACAGAATGTGTTTGGGGCTGTACTTATAACTAAGCCTATGATATGTGTGAGAAATAGCTTGTTAAAATGATAATTTTGTGAGAAAAATATTTAATTTTTTCATTTTACAAAAAATTGTGACAATAAAGTTACAACTTCAAATAATTCACTATGCCTTTTACTATTTACCTCTGTACTGTCTATGTTCCATAAAGGGGTCATTTGGGGGGTATTTGTACTGTCCTGGCATTTTAGTACCTTAAGAAATGAGATGAGGCTGTCAGTACATAGGGACTGATCAATTTTCCATATACAGTTTTGCTCAAAAGTTTGCATACCCTTGGAGAATGTATACAGTATGTACAATTTTTAAAGAAAACAACTGTAGGTTATAACAGAATGGCAGAATCATAAAACAAAACATGTCAACAAATAAACAAATGAAATGACCCCTGTTCAAAAGTCTTCATCAACTTAGTTCTTCATACTGTGTATTGCCCCCTTTAGCAGCAGTGACAGCATTCAGTCTTTTGTAATAGTTGTCTATGAGGCCCCGGATTCTTGCAGGTGGCCCAATCATCTTGGCAAAAAGCCTCCAGGTCATGCACAGTCTTTGGTCATTTTGCATACTGCATGTTTCTACTCTCCCTAGAGTGGCTCGATGATATTAAGGTCAGGAGTCAGATGGCCACTCCAGAACCTTCACATTTTTCTGCTGTAACCACTGTAGGGTCAACATGGCCTTGTGCCTATGGTCATTGTCGTGCTGGAAAGTCCAAGAGCATCCTATGGGCAGCTTTCAAACAGAAGAATGCAAATTGTCTGCCAGTATTTTCTGGTAACATGCTACATTCATCATGCCATCCATTTTCACAAAATTTCTTGTGCCTTTAGAGCTCACATACCCCCAACACATCAGTGAGTCACCACCATGCTTTATAGTGGGGATGGTAGCCTTGTTGCTATAGGACTTGTTAACCCCTCTCCAAACAGTGCTTATGGTTGTGACCATAAAGATCGATTTTGGTCTCGTCACTCCAGATTACAGTGTACCAGAAGCTGTGAGGCATGTCAAGGTGTTGTCGGGCAAATTGTAACCGGGCTTTTTTTGTGGCATTGGTGCAGTAAAGGCTTTCTTTCTGGTAACTCAACCATGCAGGTCACTTTTGTTCAAGTATCATTGTATGAGAAAGGCTTGCCAAGAGGAAACTTCTTGCTTTGAATTATCATATATATTAAGGACTGGTCCAAGAACGAAAGTTGCCCTTTGATTCATGAAATACCTTTGTGAGGGAGGTGTAATGCAATCATGAAATGATGGTATTTTGCCTTCATATATTCCATTATCTTACCTTTTCCTCCTCTGGACTACAGGGAGCTTCCAAAGTAGTGTTTCCTTTCTCAGGCACATGGGAATGTGGTACTACACAAATGTTTACCTCTCTGTGGTGGATTGTAAACACCTGTCATTCCACATCTCTCCTCTAGACTGCCTGCCAATTCTGTTGGAACATTATGGTCAATTCATGGACATTCATCAACCAACAATTAAAGTAAAGCCTTTATTTACTTGCTAAGCAGATTTGAAGATATACATGTGTTTCTTAGCAGCTTATTTGTTGCCATGCTGTAACACCAATATGGATATATAGTACATTCTGACTTCTGAGTCAATCCTTGAATAATGCCTATACAGTATATCTGGGGACATGGTGGTTGACTTCTGTGTGTTTTAACTCACTAGGTGCCATTTGTCAATTACCTTCAGATTGTTTATAATTTTCATGGCATATTCTGATACTTTAGAGAAGTAAACAGAATTGAGAAACAATAGCAACACTATGGTTACATTGAAGCTGGTATTCAATAACAGTTTGGACAACAGAATTAGAAAAAAAAAAGAACTAGGAAATTGTCAGCAAGGTTTAAACATCTCAGAGGCATATTTAATCTTATAAACGGGAAAGATGTACAGGTAAAGGTGTCCTTTTATGACACAGAGAATAGCTGCGATTCAACGGATCTCAGCTATTCTCTGGTCATTCACAGTTTATGACACTCAGGAGATCATGTCAGCCCTTCTCTGGAGATCTGTGTTCTCCCTCCAGATTCTCCATCCCAGAGCTGGAGAATCAGAGGGGGCCGCAAACTAAGCAGAGATAATTTACCTCTGCTTAGTATACTGGTCTTTTACTATAATCTGGAGAGATTATAGTAAAATGAGCCGTTTTTTCAGAGTTTGTAGACCGTTCTCCAGCGTTTGGAAACCGT